AGTGGCCATCTCTTCCCTGCTAGCCAAAACAGTCACTGTGGTGCTGGACTTCCTGGCCACGAAGCCAGGGAACAGGGCAAGCAACTGGTTGGGCAAGAATTTGGCCACCTCCATTGTCATCTTCTGTTCCATTGTCCCAATTGTCATCTGCACCATCTGGCTGGGAACCTCTCCGCCATATCCGTATTCTGATATGCACTCCCAGGCTGGACACATCATCCTGCAGTACAACAAAGGCTCTGTGGCCATGTTCTTTGCTGTCCTTGGCTACATGGGCTTCCTGGCTGCTGGCTGCTTCACAGTGGCCTTCCTGGCCAGGAAGCTGGCCGGGGCCTTCAATGAGGCCAAGCTGATCACTTTCGGCATGCTGGTCTTCTGCAGTGTCTTGGTCTCCTTCGTGCCCACCTACCTGAGCACGAGGGGCAAGCACATGGTGGCCGTGCAGGTCTTTTTATTTATTTATTATTTATTAAAACATTTTTATGCCGCCCCATTCGCCGAAGCCTCGGGGCGGCTTACAACATAGATAAAACAATAAGTTAAAATATCCATATAAAATAATCTTAATTAAAACACACATTATAAAATAAGCCGCCCTGGCCAGATAAATTCAATTGTATTTAGCATGTAAAATGTTGCTTAAATAAAAAGGCCTTAGCCTGGTGCCGAAAAACAAATAACGACGGCGCCAGGCGGACCTCTCTGTGGAGCGCATTCCATAACTTAGGCACCATCGCTGAGAAAGCCCTTCTCCGAGTAGCCACCCTCCTAATTTCTCTCACGGAGGGCTCCCAGAGAAGGGCCTCTCCCGCCGATCTCAGGGGGCACTGGGCAAATATGGATGTAAGCGCTCCTTCAGGTAACCAGGACCCAAGCCGTTTAGGGCTTTATAGGTCATTACCAACACCTTGAATTCTGCCCGGACTTCAATGGGGAGCCAGTGAAGCTGACGGAGAACTGGAGTCATGTGAACATAACGTCCAGTCCCCATCAGCAGACTGGCAGCTCTATTTTGAACCAATTGAAGTATCCGGACCGTCTTCATGGGTAGACCCACGTAGAGTGCGTTACAGAAGTCAAGACGGGAAGTCACCGGTGCATGAGTCACTGTTGCAAGGCAGTCGTACTCCAGGTAGGGGCGCAGCTGATGAATCAGCCGAAGCTGGAGGAAAGNATAATAATAATAATAATAATAATAATAATAATAATAATTTGCCCCCTCAAATGGAACATTCTTTTAGAAATCTCAGAATACAAAACAAAATTTGTTCCATGTTGTCAAAGTTCCTCACCCACTGAAGTAGTAGAAAGGATATTACATTTGAATTAACTTCCTCACTACTGTGTGGTTTAGAAAATAACACAATGTATGATGTGCAAGAAAAGACATCCGTGTTTTTGATAGCAGTAGTGTATTTCCCTACTCGGGCTCTAGTATTATGGCCACAACAGCTCGCTCTGCCCAAGGGATGGATGTCCCGTCACAGAGCACCAACACCTCATGTAATTCGGCAATCAAGGCAAGGGGGTCCAAAGCCTCACCCTCTTTGCAAGCTCCTTTTTCATTCTCCTTTATTCACAGGAACCAGTCAGCTGAGATATACCAAGTGGTGGTGGGTGGACATAAGTTCTTGGACTGGGCAACACACACCAAGTTGTTCAACGTGTCAAAGATTATACTCCATCCTAATTACACACAGGAGGAAGACCTCACTGGGGACATTGCTTTAGTTAAACTGCCATCCCCTCTCATTTTCACTGACTACGTCCGCCCTGTCTGCCTACCAGATTCCTCTGTAAAATTCCCTCAGGATGCAAACTGCTCGATCACTGGATGGGGAGCTATTCAAGAAAAAGGTGGGGACTTTCTATATGGCGTGCTGACTTTCATGCCATCAATATCCATGATGCTTGATGCTTTACAGGAAGAGGGACTCTCTTCCCCAAGGATGTTGCAGTCTCAGTGTTGTCAAGTAGACACCAAAGAAGCATAAGAGAGAGAAGGATAATGCCAGGAATAACTCAGAGTAAATCCAATTTTATAGTCAGATTCAGTCAGTTGGGAGAGGAGCAGGTGTTAGTTTCCCTGTGATGAGTGGTCTGCAGCCCAGCTGCATGGTTTCAAAGTTCCCCCAGTTGGTTTGGAACCATTGTGTTGCAATGCTGGCAAAAGCCTCCCAAACCAGGCTCAGAAATAAATTTCAGAGCCCTTCCTGAAGCCCAAGTGAACAATGAAAGTTGCAGGCTTTTACTCTGGGGGCAATGGTCAAAATTATCTCAGGAGCCTTGTCTGCCCACCTTCTAACCCTGTAGCCACTGGCCATTCACCTGCCTTGCCCACATGGGCCAAATCAGTAACCCCTTCCAGAGAAAGGACACTGTGCGTGGAGGTTTGCGCTCCTTTTCCTTGCTGCTTTCACCGTTCACTTACTTAGAGAGAGAGGTGAAGAGGCTGAACCAGCTAAAGCAAGATAATCACAGATGGAGGAGGCTCTAAAGATTGGCGCTAGTCCCCTGTCAGAGTATGGGCCCAGCAGGTACCCACAACAATGCCAACTTGGATAGCAGTGTTGGAAATTAGCTTTACCCACTCCAAAGTTCTGGTATGCCATGGTAAATGAAGCATATGGCAGTACTCGCTACAGGATGTCATCCCAGATGGCTCTCATCATGAGTGACTTCCAAGGACTTCATCAAAAAGGTGGATTTTTAGGAGGGATGTGGAAAAGAGGGAAGTTACTTTGTGAAGGTGTTGAGATGAAGCTCAGGTATGGTTTTCCAGCTGCAATATGGGCAGCAAGGGAGATGTCTGGTAAGGTAGAAACAATCTGATGGCTGGAGGGGCAAAAGTCATGGACAAAGGTAGATCAGGGGATGAGAGAAGAAGCAAAGCTATTGCAGACTGTAAAGGTAAGGATGAGAACTTTCAGTGATGAATCTGAAAGAGGAAAGACAATCAGCGTAGGAAATTAAGGAGTTGTGATAGAGATCTTCACGGGGGTTTACCACTACTAGGCAAACAGTGGATTTTCTGAGCAGTGTGCTGGCATCCATAAGGTTTTATCTGAGAGCCAGTCTTTGCGAGAACTCAGCTTTTGGAATGGTTTGCACCTGCAGTCACAACCCTTAAATATGTGATGTACAAAGAAATACCCAGGGTGCATTTTGTTAGATAATGAAAATGGACCACCAGATGGAAGAGATAAAAAATCCACACTATTCAGCCAAGGACGAAAGCTTTTATTGACATCAGCACAGGAAGATAGCTGTTTGATTGAAACAAGCTGGAACAGACAGAGGCAGCTGGAACTGTGCATAGTTGTTCTCCATGGAGAAGGGACGGAAGTTTTGACCAAACAGTTGGCAAATCAGCTTCAGTGCAAACCCGGCTTGTGCAGATTCTGGATTCATTGCACAAATGTATGATATATAGTGAGCAAACCTCCACAGTGTGTTCTCCGCTAAAACTAGGTATCCCCATGCATGCTGTGCACACTCAAATTCTCCTGACTCTGCATTCTGTCATTTCATTCCATCTTTCTCTCCACAGTTGATCTGCCTGAGCCACTAACCCTCCAGGAACTGAAAGTGCCACTCATAAATCAATCATTTTGCAACATTCTGTATAACACTGGTGGAAATGACTCAATGGGCAAGGATCCTATCAAGCATGATATGATCTGTGCTGGTTATGTGGAAGGTAAAAAGGATTCATGTAAGGTAGGACACTCCAAAATTGCTTTTCATTCATCCTTTGCCTTCAGTGGTAGGTGGGAGAAGTTCTGGTGTCTTGTCATTCTAGAGGATCCAGGTGCAAAAAAAGGACAGACTCTCCTGCACCTTGAAGGATTCTGCTGAATTTCAGCAGGTTTATCTTGTATATCTCCTAAAGAGACTGTCTTCTTTTCCATCTGAAAATCCTATTTTATTCTTAAGAGTCAATGGTCTAGAAATTCACTGCTACTTTGGAGTCCTGTCTCTGACCTTAGAAGCTACATCTGAGATCAGATCTGGAACCGCAAGCTCAGAGTGCCCTTACTGTGCCCACCCTCACAGCCAGGGCAGAAAGAGGTGCACTGGGTTGGCTCCAAAGCTGCAAGAGCAACCTCGGAGCTTGCAGGCAAGTAGGGGAGCAGGCAAGCCCTACCAGCAGGACCTGGTGATGCCCCAGCTTCCCCTGTGTGTTCTATAAGGCCACAATCAGCCTCAAGCAGCTAGCTAAAAAGTTTGCATGGAAGGGAGAGCACACAGCCAGTCTTCATCTCTGCACTCCTCCAGCAGAGATCCCCATAATCCAGTGCGGTATAGTGGTCAAGAGAGCAGGACTGGGACTCAGGAGACCTGCGTTCTGGTCCCCCTTCAGCCATGGAGACCACACGGTGACTTGGGGCCAGTTACAGACTCTCAGCAAAACCTACTTCACAGTGTTGTTGTGGGGACATGAGTGCACCAGGAGAATGATGTAAGCTACATTGGGTTCTTTAAAAAAGGGAAAGGGTAGGATATAATTTAATAAATGAATAATCCCCCAAGTTTGGAAGGTCACGGGCAGCCTCATCGTTCTATTTTTCAAAAATGAAGCAGCCATTGACCAGTTTTCAGCAATCCTGGCAACTTTGAATGAAGTTGGAACAGGTGCTGGCAAGGCATTGGCATGGCCCCATCACTCAAACACAGAAATTCATGCTGTCTTTTATGAATTTCTATGAAGACTTGTTTTTTTTAAAGAAATACTAATTGAACAACTTTTCCAGCATCCTTTGCATCACATCCTTGCATGGTAGTTCATTAGAACCTGGAGCAGGGGGAGGCTGAGAGACGGCCGGGTGGCCTAAAACCATCTCTCGCATGTGTGACTGGGAGAAGATGGCTTCCCTTTGCCACCTCCCTCCTCTCTTCAGCATCCCGAATAGATGGCGGAGGGCTTGCCCAAGACGCACCTTGTCTCCCAACATTTTTCTCCACAGGGCGACTCAGGAGGGCCCCTCGTGTGCAAGCTGCATGAATTCTGGATCCAGGCTGGCGTTCAGAGCTGGGGACATGGGTGTGCCCGAGCCAGCTATCCCGGCGTCTATGCTTCCACAACTTTCTATGCCAAATGGATTGATGAGACATTGGCTGCCAATAGTGGAAGGCAGAATGGCAGATGGCCCAGCACCTTCATGGTCACACTGTTCTGGCTGTCTTCTGCAGCAGTGCTCCATTGAAATCGTGGCCTTCAGTCTGCCAGCAAACTACATCCAAGATGCAGGGTGCTGAGTGGGTTCACTCCTTTGCTGCTTTTATTCATTGTATGGTAATTCTACCTCTCTCTCTCTCTCTCTCTCTCACTCACTCACTCACTCACTCACTCTCCCCTCCCTTAACATTTGCATAGAATTATTTAAAATCTATTTTAAAAACTGAAACCACAGAATTATTAAGAACTGGCAAAACTGGCCAGTTGGACTGTCTTTCTAGGTGATCTTATCTTTCATTGTCTTTCAGTAATACCTTATCTGGGAACTTCAACATGTCATCTGAATGCATGGTTATGTTGTCAGCAGGGCTGAGAAAAGACAAGGGGTCCTCCGAGAAGGTCTTCAGAGAGGGCCTTGTGGACTGAGATTTGCCCACCTCTGCTGAAGTGACTGAGTTTGCACATCCCTCTAAGCTTCCCAGAGAGAAAGGCATGGTGGATGAGTGAGTGGGTTATCTCTTACTCTGGGCAGACCATGGCTCACTCCGCAGCTTCCAATGGCTTGTTTCCCTGAGGCCCTTTCAGTCCTCTAGTCCTCATTGCTGGCACATATCCCAGGAAACTTTGTGGCAGAAATCTTGGCTTTCTTGTTCCCTGCATCACCACCCTTTCAGCAACCGGTCCACTGGGATTGCCAACCCATGAAGGAAAATCCTCTCCATTCCCACATTGGATCACAAAAAGAAACCAATAAATAAATGATCCTAAGGAAGCATCTACAACCACACACCAAAAGAAAGTGATTTGCTGAAGCTTATGAACATGAAAAGATGTTGCCACCTGGGAAAGGGGGTATTGCTCAAGACCGTTTGAGCACTTGTGTGCTATTTAGCCAAGCATGTCCTTATCCTCCACATCCTCTACTTGGTTGTTTTCTTGCTAGCAAACACCATTTAAAAACCCCATGAAGTTACCATGAAGTAGGAGCATCTGCCTGTAAAGCTCCTTCTCTCCTGTAGCTGCCACCTGCATCTAAACCTCTCCTTCTGTTTGATGCTTCCTTCCCTTGCTAGCAGTCTGTTGCATGCAATGGCTGCAGGGCATTGAACAGAATTGCAAAACTGTGCAACAGTAATAGCAGAGCAGTACAACAAAGGGAGAACAGTTCCACAGAGGGAGAGATTGTGCAAATTTCACAGTGGTCCAGTAGGATGGAGGGGGGAAATGCACAATTTTCATGAAACTTGCACATCAAGACACAGCCAGAACATTTTTCAATGTTCTTTCTGCAATTTTCCTGCAAAAAAAATGTTTAAAATCCATCATGATGCTGAGAACGGATGGAGAAGAAAGGCAGGAACGCTTGCACAATTGCAAGGAGTGGTGGGGCAGGGGACGGGTTCCATTCTTGCCAACTGGCTCTCCGGCCATTCCTGCCATCCAGTGGAAATAATCATCAGCTGGGCTTGGATGTCACATTAAGGACACTGTGAACAACCCCCCCCCCAAATCACCCTGCTACAAGGTAGCAAGGTCATGCAAAACAACCTTCAATGCGAAAACTCTTCCCGTTTTAGGTATGATGCAGGCCACCATGTGCACAGGTGCAAACAACCCCCCAGGGCTTAGCATGATGTGCAAACCCAGTCAATGTTACAATTAAACAGAATGAAGGAGATTTATGTTTTATGTGTAACACAGTATGTTATTCTTATGCATTTCACATCTGATGCTTCCATTCCGGCTATATTTCAATCATTGCATATTAACTGCTTTGCTGCTAAATAGAGCTATATCAAAATTGTGAATGTAGCCCTCCAGAATTTCACATGCTTATGATTAAATAAGACCTATTTTTACACTACGGCAGTCTGAGCTGGCAAAACTTCCCCATTCCTTTATATATTTCTGAATTCTTCCCTCTTCCTGATTCTTTTCAGTGTATTCCTTTACCCAGCATCCACCTATCCTGAATGGAGCAAGGCTAAAGTCTCCCTATAACTTGAGTTTTGCCAGGCCTTTGTTCCCACAAGAAGCTGAGGAGGTGGATCATTGCAGGCTTTGGGGTGGGGAACAAAAGTCAAATAATGTTCAGCTGGAAAGGATATTCCAATATTTACAAAGCGGACAGAGGTTTGTGGATTTTATTTCTTCTTCTTCTTCATGTAAAGATAAGGCATACGCAACTACAAGCAGCTGCATAGGGAAGAGAAGTGACATAAATAGATAGCAAATTATAAAGAGTAACAACACAGATTTGGATAAAAACCTTGTACGTGGTTATCTCTTACCTGTCGGCTTCTATTGCACTCAAGAGAGGAGTCCAGCTGTGTTCTAGGATGTATTACAGAAAGAAATCTATCTTAGGCAGTCCTTTCCCACACCTTACCACCAATGCACATAATCACATAGTTGGAAGGGGCCTGGAAAGCCATCAAGTCCAACAGCCTACTCAAGTCTCCCATCCAGATTCTAACCAGGGCTGACCCAGCTTAGCTTCCAAGATCAGGCAGGCTCAGGCACTTCAAGCTATATGGAAGCATCTGTCTCAACTCAGATGCTCACATGCATCCTTTGCCCCAAATGAGGTGCAATGGCAGACTCTGTCTCTGCCATGGTTCACACCCGTCATTTTTTTTCATCTTGACAGCCTTGTTCGGCCATCTAGCATCAGAGAGGGGGAGGGAAGGAGGCTGGGAGGTCGACAGAAAATGGTGTACATCCCACACTCCACCCTACAGCACACCTTTTCTCCTCTCCAAGCTGCCTTTTTTTGCCTTTGGGAGAGGCATCCATCATGGTTCTTTCCACCCCAGCTCCAAGGGGATGTGGCAGGGGCATGGCTTTGTGGGTCCCTGTGCTGAGGTCACAAGCTCGTGGAGCTGAGACTCTGAATAACCAGTATGAATGAAGAATAACAAAGAGACAATGCCAAGAAGCCGTCGGATTGCACCCTTGAGGTAGCTATCATTTGAGTGCCTGTTTCCTGATCATCCACCCCAAAGGGCTTAACAGCCACTGTCCAGATCCAGTCGGGCCTATCATTGCCACATCAGTGATACCAGAACATGATGTACAAAGTTCATGGAGCCAGTCCCAATTCATGCCACATTTGATTCCTTGTCCTGCAGTGCCTTTCCAAAAGCGTGTCCCCTATTTCTATGATCATGCCTCCAAATCTCAGTCAAATGAATGGTGTGACTCTTTAAGATAATTTTAGAAAGATGCAAGCAATGACATTCCCATTATGTTTTCCTGTTGTTGTTGTTTAGTCACAAAGTCATGTCTGACCCATCACGACCCCATGGACAGCATTCCTCCTCCACCATCCCTCAGAGTCCACCCAAGCTCACATCTACCACCCCAGTGACTCCATCTACATGTTCTCTTGTAGTTCATTGAAATCCACACCCACTCCTACCACAATAGACGGTTTCTTCTGGTGCTTTCATATCTCTATGCACAGATACACACACATGATCTGGGCCGCATTTGGTGTTGCCAGAACTGCCTTTTACCCAACCAGGAAAGCAAGCAGCAGTAAACACCTCTGCTCATCCTGTGTGTTCATTCCTTTCAAACGTGCTTTATCTCTACTGCCACACCTCTCCTTTCACAAATGAGTAGACACCTCTCCCAAGTTCAACTTTGTTCCCATTTACTTCTCCTTAGCTGCATTTTTTGTTGAAATAAATCGTCGGCTTTCTCCTTTCATAACAACCATGTCATTTTATGTCCTTGTATGGCAGTGTTATTCATTTAAAACATTTGTGTGCTGCTCATCAGTTGAAAGGCTGCTGAAACAGCATTAGTATGAATAATAAAAACAAGATGGTACCTGCCCTTGGGCTTATAATCTAAAGGAGTGACACACATGAAAGGGCAGGTGATGGACAAGCCTTATTTAGGAGTCACTGCTTCCTAGAGGAGGTTGTACCACGGTAAAGGTAAAGGTTTCCTCTTGACATTAAGTCCAGTCATGCCTGACTCTAGGGGGCAGTGCTCATCTCCATTTCCTAGCTGAGGGAGCCAGCGTTTGTCCGCAGACAGTCTTCGTGCTCATGTGGCTGACATGACTAAACACCGAAGTGCACGGAATGCTAGTACCTGCCCACCGAAGTGGTACCTTTTTATCTACTTGCATTTGCATGCTTTCAAACTGCAAGGTTGGCAGGAGCTGGGACGGAGCAATGGGAACTCACTCCATTGTGCAGATTCGAACCGGCAACCTTTCGATCAACCAGCCCAACAGCACAGCGGTTTAAACCACTGCGCCACCTGCAGTCACTTGTACCACAGACCCTTGTTCTAATTCATTCTGACTTATTTTTAAAACCCTTTCATTTAGATGGTACATTCCAGATATGGGGAGTGTGCGGCCCTTCAGATGTTGCTGCACTGCACCTCCCATCATTCTTACCCAGTTGCTATACTGACTAAGGCCAGTGGGTATTATAGTTATACAACATATCCCTCTATAAGTACCTCAAAGGCTGTCACAAAGAGGAAGATCTCTTCTTGCTGGTGCCAGAGTGTAGGACATGGAATAATCAATTCAAGTTGCAACAACCCAGATTCAGGCTGGACATCAGGAAGACCTTCCTCACTGTCATATCAATATGCCAGTGGAACCAACTGCCTAGAGAGGTCGTGGGTCCTCCCACACTAGAGACATTCAAAAAGAAACTAGACAGCCATCTGAGTGGGATGGTGTAACTTGGTGTCCTGCAACAGCAGGGTGTTGGACTCGATGGGCTTCATGGCCCCTTCAAACTCTACTATTCTATGATTCTGTGAACATCTGGAGAACCACTTGGTTTTCCTTTTGCCATAATTTCTTGGTTTAGAAGTTGTCTTTCCAATGTTTGAGAAGGCTCTCGGAGTGCAAATCCTTTAAATTTCAACTTAAGAATTCTCTAAAATTCTTCCAGTGGCTGAGCTCTTCCTTCCACCATCTCTAGAACCTAATTCACTGCGAAGCCCAAACTGTCCACTACAGCAAGTAACCAAACAGCCATGAAAGCTCTT